ACTGACAATCTCTCCAGTTCCGAGCCGCGACAGTTGGGTAGGGGCAAGAAGATCAGGTGTGCTACCATGTTATGTACCACTAATTTTCCTTTGCAGACATATTCGCAAACTAACCTCAGAGTGCGACGACGAGGACTTGCCAAACCAACCGAAAGAGCCAACTGGTTGGCCAGCTCCACCGCCCATACTACAGTAAGTATGACTATTGTAGACATTTCGTAGTCCAAGAACGGATGAGAATGTGCCACACTTGTTTTCTACCGAGTCGATTGGACCCAGTCAGTCAACACCACTGTCCTCATTTGAGTAGGCAACGCTTATCATTTATTACTTTAGACACTTTACGACAATATATTCATATGCTTCCACGGCCACAATTTCGACGGAATTTAGCCAGCAGGTGCAAAAGGACATGGCTGACATAAAAGGTCAGTTAGAAAACACAAATGTCCGGCTAGCGGCACTTGAGTAAGACTGTGAACAATCTCCCTAACAAACTATCAGGAAAAGGAACGATTTCCTAGCTGAGCAACTTATGGCTCTTCTTAGCAGTGCGCAGCAGATGCAGGCAACACTATCAGATGTTGTCAATGCATTACAGAGAGCCTCCAGCGCCGGTTCTGTCACATCTTCCTCCCTAAATTTACCGATGTGTACCGAGGAGGCATATTTTATAGAACCCACAAATAAAAATATGTTTTATTTTAGTCTATCAATAGAGAATCACGTCCTCTTTATATTTTATACTTAAGGAAGGAGAATAATTAGGTTTTAAAAAAGTTTCTAATTATGAGACTTTTTAAGACCGCGATATGTGCATTCACATAGCATCGTACCTGGCCGTTTACCACTGCTCCTCATGAAATGTGCAACATGGTCCGCATCCATTGCAAAATTTTATGGACTCTGTATTATATCTCATGAATGACATAGAAAAATATGGGATTTTCTTTACGCGGAACGCATTCACCTTGTAGAGTGTAATCACTTAGCGCTAATGCAACAAATGATCAGGCTCCAAATTTTTCGGCAACTAGAAAACTTTTTTAAAACCTAATTATACTCCTTCCTTAAGTATAAAATATAAAGAAGACGTGATTCTCTATTGATTGACTAAAAGAAAGCGCATTAAAGCCGACATCCTGCCAAGTCTAAAATGTTATAAGAGTAAGCCTTATGATAATCAGTATCACAAACGCGACCCAGTAATCCTTCCTAATCGAAAACGCATTTCAGAATTTCAGCTAACATTTCATGAGATAGGTCACGCACTGTAGACGTTTGCGGTGTCCGTAGAGTATGAGTAAACACACTTGAGGTCATCGGCATAAGTAAAAGTATGCGAATTTCCGAGTTCAGTCGAAATATCATTGATGTAAAGGAGGAGGAAGAGTAGCGGACCCAGAACCGTGCCTTGGAGTACGCCACTCGTGATCGAGTGAGGTGTCGATTGGCTATTACTGACCATGACTTTCTGATATCGTTTGGACAGATAGGACCTTATGAAGTCGAGTGGAGGCGGCCGGATGCCGAGAGCTTCCAATTTTACTAAAAGACGTCTATGGGGCACCTTTTCAAAGGCTTTGCTAAGATCAAAGTATATAACTACCACTGACTGCCGCTCATTACGAAGAGAAGTGATTAGATTAAGAAAAGCCAAGTGGCATGTTTCGCGGGATCGTTCAGGTAAAAATCCATGTTGACTAGAGCTCAGAAGTCGATTAGCTAGACAGAAGTCAAGAATTTCATTGAAAATAATCCTCTCAAGAAGCTTTGCTAGAGACAGCGTTTTGTGCACGCCCCCATAGTTATTAACATCGGACCGACATCCTGACTTGAAGGCGGGAATGATAATTGACATTTTCCATGTTTCAAGAAAGAATCCTTTTGAAATATAAACAGAGAATAAATGGCTAAGCAATATGGGAAGGTCGGACGCTTGTTTAAAAATCGAATTCGGAATCCCGTACATTCCTGAGCAGTTTAAGTATTTCAAACGACTTATGTGTTTNCATCAGATGGAGAAACTGCTTTAGAGGAAAAAGACATTTGGGTAGAATTCGGGGGTGGCTTTACGTTTGGTAATATGGGAGAAATTTTTCGTTGCAGTGGAGTCTGGTCTCGACTAATAAAAAGTTTATTTGCCCTGAGGTATTGAGTTGATCGCTCCAAATGGGAGAAAATAAAATCCACTTCAATCGATGAAAAGAGTTTGACAAGAATGGGTGGATTCTTGCTCCTAGATGAAAGCCTTTTGGCTTCCGCGACCCTAAAGTTGAAGCCGCATGAAAAAAGGAATTGAAAGGCAACATCAATTGGCTGTCTACTCTTGGGAACGTTTTTTAATATAAAGTTGAAACTTCGTTTGTGCCTGTCTTCAGTCTCAGTCGCAACCAGGTTAATGAGAGGCATGAGCTTCTCACACTGCTGAGACGTAAGCGTTGGCAAATTTCCGTCAAGAAGGGCACCAAGGACAGAAAAAATTGATCCGCAACGAGACATAAAGTTGTTAAAATCATCAAGCGCCCCTAGATCAATTTTTTTCATATGAACACGGGGTTTCAGATGAAGTTTAGTTTCCTTCAGATTTCGACGAAGGGTTGCTTGAGGTTTCATGCCGAAAATGCAATACAAGACTTAAGTCCAAATATTTATATGGATGATAACTGCCGAAACTTCGAGGATATATGGATGAGGCTACGTATGATGAAACGATTTATGAAAGCTGCAAATATTGGTGGACCAGACAGCACAATTTATACTAAGCAGGTTTTACTCAATACCAGAATGCAAACTAGAAAAAAAAACGGGCAAATGACAATTTCGTAGGTGGTAAAACAGAACTATGAATAAATCTGAATTGGATAATGAGGCTATGTAGGATAAAATAGATAACAGTATAATTCTCAATAAACTGACGATGAAAGCCGTTAGTGGAGACGGTTTATCGTTTAAAATATAATGTTAATCTATATTTTTACGAGGAAAACCTTTTGTATATGCAGGTAAGACTTGATAGGATTGAGGCTATGTTGGGTGAAAAACTGCGACAATAGATTTCTGCTTTATGACAAATCGCAGAAACACGACAGGAAGCGAAGAAGACTTACGACAAAAAATAGAAAATTTCGTCAGGTCTACACTGGAAAACTGTGCAAGGGATTAAGAAATTGAATCCAAAAATATAACTTTCACTTATCTTTTCAAAATCGT